GAAGCCGTGGGTGCCGTCGCCGTGGTCATGAGGGGCCGATTCCTATACCTGAAAAGAGTACTTAGGGTCAAGTACCCACTCATCCTTAATCCCCTTTTTTCCTAGACACCCCCGCTGACAGTAAAACTAGACAGTCGCATGTCAACCGGCATCATTTTCCGATAGACGGCGCAAAACTGTTTACCTAATCATCTACCGTCCCAAATTCTTGTCACTAGACGGTCAAAACATGATGTTGCCTCGGAAGTGTGTTTGAAAATCCCACCAGACACTACTGGAGTAGACGGAACGCTATCGTACAATACAGTCGCACCCCGTTGTCCCGGATGAAATTCTTTGCTTTCAAAAATTTCTTTGCACCAAAACCCAACCTGTTGCCCCGGATAATCCGCTGTTCCGGACAAATTCTTGGATTTTGGCCGGATTTTGGCCATCCCGGGCAGCGAGGTGCGACTGTACGATACTCGTAGGTAAACACCATCTACGAGTATGATACTTTCCCCTACAGTACTCCAAGTAACTTACCCCTCCAACTGTCTAGCCCTCAACTGTCGGCACCGTCTCAGGCCACTAGACGGCCGTCCATAGGTAAACAGGCCCCTATGCTCACACCCTACTTGTAGTACAAGTATCATACCTCCGCACCCACCACCGCAACCCCACAAACGCCCTCCTCCCAGAACCTAGAATTTCTCAGAGAAAGAAAAGGAGACTATAGTATTTATTACACGACTCGAGCTCAATACGAAAACAGCCATTTCTCCGGGTGGACCTTTTCAATACCATGCTCTTGGCGAAAAAACCTTCTGGATACCATCGACCGAGAAATATGCCATTGAAAAAGTGCACCTTGGCCTGCCCTCGCTTGAGAGGTACATTTTGTTCTGCCAGGGATCCCCAGAAAATTACCAAAGAAATACAAGGAAATTTTTAGAAAAATATTACCAGGCCTCAGGTAATTCTAAGTTTTTTTATGTGATTTTTTACAATATTTTTGCGTTGTTTGAAGAAAAAAAAAGGTACGAGTATCATTTTATGAACTTGGTAGATCTCATTAACTCGTATTCGCAATTTTATTAACCTACTTGTTTGCGCACATCCCCTGCTAGCGCACCAAGCCCCAGAATCCGAGATGGTGGATTTAAATTGATTGTGGCAACACCGAGCTTCTAAAGAGCCTGGATAGACTGTCGATCTCTCAACCCAACCATCCACTCACAACAATCACCCAAAAAGCAGTCGATACAAAAAAACACTATGCTCCGACCCCCACGTCAGTCGGGAATCTTTTCCCCTACCCTTCTCCGTCAACGTATCTGGTTCAGAAAATTACATGATGAATTCATCCACGATGGCACCGGAAACGATGACAAACCCAACGACACAGCCTCCGCAGGTATCGGGCCGAAGGTGGAAGCCGGTGGGGGTGGTAGCCAGTCTGGTTTCTTGGTACAATAAGTCTCTCTACTCCAAACTGATTGTCTAAACTTCAGCTAACAAACCATGGTATAGTGGGACCGGATGAACAGACCGGACGATAAGATCGATGCTACCTTCAAGGTATGGATTGCATTTACAAATACGGTACCTAGTGACAAATAGTGCTCCCAGTCGTCCAGTCCGACTGGACGGGACGACAAGGACAAGGATGAGCGCCGTCCGACGGCCGTCGACGGCAGTTGACTAAGGTTGGTCAATGCACCCAATGCCACCCAGTAAGACACACACTAGTGTTACTCAGGTATGGACGCGGGTGACCGGACAGACAGGGTTAGAAAATCTATGTACTCGTATTTGCATATATCTTCTATTCATAAGCCCTGTCTGTCCGGTCACCCACGTCCATACCCGAGTATAGTGCCGGACGTGTGAAACCTACCTTCCTGTTCACTTTTTGGTAATTTTGAACAGGGATTTTTCTGCAATAAAAAGGATATCTCTTGGCATTCCTTGGCATGATTAATAGTACCTTGAAAACTCAGTTATAATGAATAGCCTGGGCTGATTGTGTAGTAAATTTGGACTCTTTGATTGATGGAGAGCTCACGAACAGGGCCAGATAATATAACTAAGTGTTCCTAGATACCCTCTTAAGCCATTCAAACCACTGGGAACTGCCTGTACAACCAGTCCAGGTGAGTTTATTATAATCAAGTTTTTATGGTAATAAGAAGATTGAATTAAGATAGATTTTATGTCATTGCTAGAATAAAACCCAACTAGATAAGAAAGATGTATATAGGAAGAAAAGAAAAAGAAAAAGAAAGAAAGAAAACTACAAATCCCTGGTCAGAAAGTATACTCAGTGATGTGACTCGTATTCCTTGATGTACTTTTCAGAGTCTGGTGTACCATATTGAACTCCTGTATGATAGGTTGAATGTACTAAAGGCATCGACAATAGAAGCTGTGAATTGTAAAGGGCTTTACTGATACTAATGCATCAGGAATTCAATCTCGAATTCCACTAAGGGTGTAGTCACAGTACTCACGTGCATATATTTTAGATTGAGCTCAAAAGTACTCAATCCAATTGATTTCGCAGTGAAATTTTGGGAAAAACATTACCAAATCCCCCCTAAGCTTAATCACTTCAACTAGTATTGATTTTTGTTGTAGGAAATCTGGTTGTAATGCTATCAATAACTGCGTACAACAATTTATAAAGATGAATAACCAAATATTAGATTAGTATTTATAAATAATATATGAAGTTTAAATTTCCTATAAAGTAGCTAAAAAGAAATTAAAAAATAAAAGTAATACATACTAGTTCCTGGACATTGCAAACCTAGATTGATACAGTCCAAACATTCCTTAGTACTGTAATAGCAGCAGTGAAGATAGTATACCTTTCTTGTACACTGAGTGCAAGTTCTGTATCGTTCGCACTAATCACATGTTCTCTTCTTAGCACAGTAGCTACTGCAAACCTTTTCCTTTCAGCATTCCATACACTCCATGCCAGCTATACACTTTTTATAATTTTTAACTGTAGAACAGCAAATGCAAAGCTTTTTGGAGTGATCCAATAAAAGCTGATCTCCACTCTCCGGCCATAAACCTCTCTCTTCCAGTACTTTTCTAATTCAAGTTTCCTTTCTTTTGTATCCTCTATCTCATTCTCAGTCACATAAAACTCCCACCTACTTTGTCTATGCTGACTGTTCTCTCCAAAATACCCATCTGGTAACCAATTCTGCTTTCCACTGGGCCCCAGACTCATGTTTTGAGCCAGTAATATGTCTGGAGTAAATGATGCATAGTTTGAAGAATTATTAAACAAAAACAGAAATTGGTATCCCAGGTATGGTGTGTGTGCGATTGGGATAGCCAATTCTGTTAATTATTTTAATAAATGCCCTCCTTCCTAGTATCTATTCTCACGTCCATACTCAAACAAGATTGTAGCACATAGCAGTAAGCCTAGTGCCTGTCACTTCTCTAAAGAAGGATTGCTTAAAGGCAATCTATTCTATGATAACAGAAATTCTGATACCATAATTCCTTGCCCTCATCCTTTGGGTTGAATTATTTATTACTCTTGCTTAACCTATACCTGCCGCTATGAAATGTTAGATGAAAATGTTGATTCATTATGGGTGATAATAATAATCAGTTTTTCTCGCCTCCCACCTCACATCCATCCAGATAATCCTTCTCCCTTATCCTTCCATCATTCTCAAACTCTACCACAAATGGCCAAAGCTCCTCCAATACCTTTACAAACTGTTCATAGTAAGTTGCCACATCTTCCCTTTCATGTCCATCAATATATACACTCTTTCTAACAATAGTGTAATTATACCCATTCTGTCTTAACCATTGGCGAATGGTTCATGCTGTAATCCTTTTTCACTTCCTTATCAATCTCTCTTCTTCCTTTCTCCCATTCCTATTCCTTCTAATCCCTTTAAACCATTAGGTAAAGACTCTCTGATACTGACTGCATCTATCAATTGGCTTAGATTGGGAATTCTGCCATTGAGATCTTCCTCCTGGTAAGCTTCCTCTATGTAATTGTTGACAACTTGGGTAATTTTATATGCTGTAATAGCTAAAATTATTACATCCAATTTATTAGCTACCAATAATAATAGATTCAATTGGAATGAAAATAAAAGTTAAGTTACCTTCCCCTGCACATACTAAATGATATACTCTTATTTTCTTTATTACATTAATCTGGTGGTGTTGTTG